TAAAAAAGCGTTTGTGAACAAATAAATTCAGGCTTATAACAACTTATTTTGCAGTTTTCTATATTGTGTCCATCAAAAATGATTAAAAGAGAGAGGGAAACACTTGTGAGGTCTATTTGTTGACTCGGTGCTGGGCTGGTGCATAATTATAGTATAGCTGCTTTTTTTCTTCGGATTACACCACTGATAAAGCCGGAAATGTTCATGTGATCACTGCAAATGTTGTATTGTGCTGTCACTAGCAAACTTGATGTTCACTAATGCTAGGAAAACATAGCTAGCAAATAGTCCTATTATCATGGACATGCACCAATTATTTAAATTAATAGTATTCATATATCCCAAAAAAGAAACTGGAATATCATATTGTATTATACATGTGAAGCTCCACTTTACTAAAAACATCTTTTTTTTTTTTGCTTGTGGAAATCTCCACAAATTAGCAATTGAATCATGCACTATCCTAGTGTGTACTCCTATTTATTTCTGACAAACCCTCAATGATTTTATTATTAATGTTTTTGTTCTGAAACTGGGCCTGACCCATGTCTAGCACAGCCTGGTGCTTTTCCTGCACAAACATGCCTATCAAACCTGACAATTAACACGTGAGTTGTGTGAGGTGTATTTGAGCAGGGAAATCTCACAACTGGGTTGGACACCTGCCCTCTAGAAACAGAAGTGAAAAATCCTGCTGTGAATATCTAAGGTGTAGGAGTGATTTGGAAGGTGTAGTGGGGAGCACTTTAAAGCGGAAGGCAATCAAAAATGAACAGTCAGAAATCTATATGTGAAACCTATGCTGTGCTTTACAACAGAAAAGAGCATTTTTGTTATTAGTCAAACTAGGTGCTGATTCAAATAAATAAACACACTGTAGAGTAAATAAAAAAAGAAGACTATTTTTTATTATTTAAAATAATATAATTTCAAATAATAATTTAAAAAATGTTGTTTATCAAACTAAATGCTTGTCACCAGTTGCCTGCACCACTGACAGCAGTAAGCCTTAGGGGCAATAGTTGCTGGAGTGAAAAAGGGTTTGCAAGTTGCAGCATCCCGACATAGATTTTAATTCAAAGCTGATGCAGTTTTTCCTGGTAGCTGCTGAGCCACTTTTCACACAAGCAACAACTAGAATCAATAAAAGTGAGAAGTGGTGGGGGGGGATGCCTTAACATTCATGCATGCAGGTGAATATTCAGTGTTTTCATCAGAAGTGGGAAATAAAGTGTTTCCACAAGATTACTTCCATCTCTTGTGGAGCTCCAGAGAGAGAAAAGCACACTGAGAGAGCAAAGATGAGAATAGTACAATGTCATTGTCACTGTCCTCATTTACCTCTGCTATCCAGTCCACTCAATTAACGCTGAATGAGTGACAGCCTTTGTGCACATACACTCCCTATAGCAAGGAGGAACCAAACACACACACACACACACACACACACACTCACACTCCGGCCCTGCAGCAAGGAGGATTTAAATGAAATGTAAAAGATTCCCCTTACACACATGCACACATTTTGACAGTGATGTGTCTCTGTTTTATATTTCTATTTCTGTTTTTATATTTTCATGGCGAGAAATGTGACAGTAACAGAGTGATTGCATCCCTGTAAAATTTCTGACCATCAAATGAACAATTATGTGTGTAATTTGGTCCACTTTAGCTGTTGTGGAGTGAAATCACCTAACAAAAAGCATGGTGCAAAATGATTGAAAATTAAAAATCTTGTCACATTGACACTCACCAAGCACTTCATTACAAATATCTGTACACCAACATATTCAAGTAATTACCCAAGGTAGTGCACATAATCATGACCCACCACTTTCTGATTGAGTTCAGGGCGCTTACATCATAAGCACTTTTAAGCACTTACATCATAAGCATAAGAGTTACTGAGTCAAACCCTTAGCAGCATGAATCAAAATCTCCATCTGAGCTCAGGGGCAGAGGGAGCTTGGGACATTTCCCAAACAGTAAAAGCTCTGTGAGTTCATGCTCAGTGAGAGGAGCTGCAGCTTACTAATATGGTAAAAGTGTTTTACAGCAATACACACAACTAATGCACTGGATCACAGTTTGAATTTACTAAATGTCAGTTGGAATTTCTTACTGCTACATTGCTATACTAAGGTCCCTGTCATGCTTACCTTGTTTGGTGCAGACCTATCGTACACTTTCCTCAGTTCTGTCCATTTTGAAGTGTGACTACTCCCCCTGTATTCAGGCCTGCACCAACAACTGAACCTTTGATCGGTAAACTCTGCTTCAGGGTGGGAATGCATTTTTACGATGGTCCACCCCAAGTGACAGAATTCAACACCAGAGTATGCTTTTCTCAGAGCACATCTGAGCTGTACTGTCATAAAGAAGCAGATATCAAGTAAAGTTCATTTTTATTGCTTTGTTTTGTGATACACATAGATGTTTAACATCTTTATTGTATATTTTCTGTTTAGATTTTTATATTTTCATGGTGAAAAATGTGACAGTAATTTTTGCATCCCTGCAAAATGTCTGACCAGCAAATGAACACCCTTGTATGTAATTTGGTCCACTTTAGCTGTAGTGCCACCCCTGGATGAGATAGGTCAACTGAGAATGGCCAGACTGGTTCGATCTGCCAGAAAGGCTATGGTAACTCAGACAACCACTCTGTACAGTTGTAGTGAGCAGAGAAGTATCTCAGAATGTCAGAATGCATAACACCTCAAACCGTGAGGCTGATGGCTACAACAACAGAAGATCATGTTGGGTTCCACTTCTGTCAGCCAAGAACAGAAAGCTGAGGCTGCAGTAGGCAAAGTTGAAGACTGGAAAAATGTAGCCTGGTCTGACGAATCTCAATTTCTGCTGAGGTAAGGTCAGAATTTGGCGTCAACAGCATAAATCCATGGACCCAACCTGCCTTGTGTCAACAGTCCAAGCTGGTGAAGATGGTGTAACGATGTGGGGAAATTTGTCTTGGTATGTGCTAAAACAGGATTGAAGTGCAACTGTTAAATCTGCAGGAATTGCAAAATGCGATCATTTCAACATGGACCAGAATCTCAAAGGAAAGTTTCAAATGTCTTATAGAATCCATGCCACAAAGAAATTAAGAGCAAAGGGAGGCCCTACCTAGTATTAGTATAGTTTTCCAGATGTGAGTGCACATTAAGATATATTTTATACATATGTATATAAAACACAATGCAAAGGGTAACTTTCGGATTATGCAAAAAAGGTAATAACAACAAAAAATGAAGATACAAGGTTTTTGCGTGACTGTGATGATATACTGTTTTACCTTTTTTAGGTATGTATCTGTATGTGCAAGTTATTATTTTTATGCACACATAACCCTTCGGTACATTTACCTTTTCAGTGGCCCCAAAAACTATTTGGACACCATTTAACAATTCTTTAGCTTATTCAGATAATATTTAACAAAATGATGTTTGTTTCAGAGAAACAACATCAAACTGATGGTACACTCTTTGTGAAGAAAGCGTGAAGAAGAGTTCCAACCAGACCTCACTAAGTGTACAATATATCACAGAGGTGGAAACATCAAAGTTTGTGGCTGTTTTTCTGCCAGTAGTGGTGGTGAGCTTGTGGTCATTGATGGGATCATGTACTCATTTGCATTTTGGATGCAAAGTCTGCAAAGACAATGCTAAAATCAGAGTTTTTTTCTAGTACTGTATACATCTAAGCCAAGCACCTTTACTTTTAGGACTGTAAACTGAGAATTTAATGTCATTTGCTCTATAATCTATTGCTCTCTAAGTGATACAGTATATTGAAGTCTGTTTCTGTTTTTTGATTTTTACTTGATTCCATTTGGTCAAATGGTTACACATGTTTATAATATATGTTACATTATAATATATGTTACATCAACACAATTCTTTCAATTCCTGAGTACCTGAATGGATAAGGATCTGAAACACACCAGCTGTCTTTTGAAAGAATACTAAATAAAAAATGCCAGTGTTTAAACAGTCTGTTTAAAATAAAAAAAACACTTGGTTTGTTTCCTAACACAAGAAACTTAAAGGGGAATTCCACTGATATTTTAAAACTTCTGTATAATTCAACCATTACAATCAGATTACTTCAATGGGAAATGGTTCATTGTATGGGTCTACTGTGCAAATGTAGTAATTTTAATAATCAGTGATCCTACACAAGTCGGTAGGCATTTTATATGTAATGTTAATAATAATAAAATAGCGGAAACTGTGATCAAATACAGTTTCTACAGGAAAATGTTTTGTCTTACAAAACTATGCATGTACCTCTGCTCCATGAACACATTACATTTTAGGCCAAAACTATTGTATATTGTCTCTCAGGAATCATCAACATATTCATAACAGTTTTGTGTAACAGCTTTCTATGTTTTAACTTTTTGAGGAGTCAGACTCTTCAGACATCTGGTTCCTATCACCACCACTGTGAACATTTATCACTTGGTAAGTTTCTCTAGAACAGAGCATCTCACATCAAACCACTCTCAATGACTTTGTTTACAACTTAACAATTTAATTACACAGAAGTTTTTCAAAATTGGTGGAATTCCCCTTTAATACATGTTTAAGTATGGCAGAAATAATTTAAAATAATAGTCTGAATAATGTTTTGGGGTACATTGCGTTGTACATATCCAAACCATAACACACACACACACACACACACACACACACACACACACACACACACACACACACACACAGAGACTGAGCCACACACACTCTGGTGCAGATCATAAGCAGTAAAACTCTACAAGCGTCCCTAGCAGAACACCTATTGTGTTCTTGTACAATCTCACTTCCTTTTCTTACGCTGTGGTATTCTTCTCACCAAAATAGAGTGGCAGTGGGGCAGTAGGGGAGGGAGGGAGGAAAGGAGGAGGGAGGAGGACATGCATGTGTGTATGTGTGTGTGTCTTGGGGGCAAAGAGGGAGGGTGTGTTGAGGGTGTTTGATATGAAACACTCACAGAGATGGTCCAGTATTTCTGTGTTTGCCACACACTCCTGCCCTCATTCTCACAGTGGGACTGCCACGAGGGGCCTGCTCTGCCTGAGTGTGTCACCAGCTTCCCATACACTCATCTGTAGAGCTCCAACACCCATCCTGACTGCCACAGCTGGGCTGGAACTGCAGGACCCCCAAAGCAGTGAGACCAGGACCCTTTTCATCATCTCCACCAGCTGGGACAGGAGACACTGAGCAAATCTCACACACACGCACACTCATCAGTCTGGTTGAGACAGCAGCGGGACAGGTAATTCCTCTTCTCTTCTCAACTCTCTGGAAGTTCATGGTACACTCTTAAAAGGAAAGGTGCCACAGGCGTTCTTTGGAGAGATGCCACAGAAGAACTGTTTTTGGTTCCTTCAAAATTTCAGCTGGATGGTTCTACATAGTATATTTAAGTAAATGTGACATGTGAGTCTAAAGAACCTCCACAATGTAAAAGTGGTGTACTAAAGTTTTTTTCCAAGCACTGTGTACATCTAAGCCGAGACCCATTTAGAAACCTTTATTTTTAGAACTGTAAGCTCAGAAGTTAAAGGGGAATTCCAAGAATTTTTCAATATGTCTGCACAATTAAATTGTTACGATGTAAGTAAAGTCAGTCAGAGTGGTTTAATGTGAGATGCTCCATTCTAAAGAAACTCTGTCAGAGTCAGAACTGTTCACAGTGGTGTTGATGGGAACCAGATGTCTGAAGCATTTTATGCCCCTAAAAGCTCTCTCACAGAAAGCTATCACAAGGAATGGTTTTGACTGCTGCCTGATGCCTGAGAAATTGTTTTATTATAGTTCTAAGAAAAGCTTTTGGCCTAAAATGTACTTTTCAAATCTGTCCATGGCAAAGAGGTTCATGCAGAACGTTGCAAAACAGTCCCCAAAGAAAACTTTTTTTTTCAGATTTACCACAATTTAAACCAATTTCAACATTGTGTGTGTAAAAACACAGAATAAATGTAGATTCACTGGTGGTTTTGGACAGTAAATAAAATGTCTAGATTTGTGTTGTAGATATCATGACCCCTGATTACTATCACCGCCACTGTAAAGAAATCCGACTACATCATTCACATCAGACCACTCTAGATGACTTTGCTTAAATTTCACATTTTAAAAAACAGTGCCATTTGTTTGCCAAGTCTGTTTCTAAGTCTGCCAAAGATTTTACGTGATTCAAATCAGTTTCACATGAATAGAATCTGTTACATCAACACAACTCTTTCTAAAAGCCGTAAATGGAAGGATAAAAAATAATATAAAAGTTAATATAAAACATTTTATTCATGTGCAACCGTTTGAAACATTTGAATTAAAATTAAATGCATCATTTTTTCAGTGTGAATTTTAAAATAAACCTCTCTTATAAGGAACTAAATCTCTGAATACAGTTAAAAACTTTCAAACCACTATGGAAGTACAAATATACATTGTATTTCTTACTTTTAGGACTTACTGGTTATTAATATGCTAGTCCTTTTTCACCTAATTTGAATCAACCACAAGTGTTTTTTGGTGAAATGTTATTCAAATATGTGAATGTATTTGATGTTATATGTTACTTTCTGAGTCAATGGCAAGTAGTTTATCTTCCTTGATGAGACACTATTCAATTAATGAATGTATTTGACGTGACACATCACTCTCGGTTTTACAGTGTACAATTTTAAAGACAAGAGTACATAAACCAGTATGTAAACTTACAAAAAAGTAAGTAAGTCTAAAACTGGCTGATAATGTAAAATTAAACAGCACTGAACTAATCTGCCTAGCAAATTCAAGCCAGAAGTCAAGTGAAAATACACACATATCAGCAACTTCGAAGTTATGCTGAAACAGCATACAACATCTCTAAGAACAGTAAAGTGCAGTTTCAGTGTAACTCTGTGGAAGTCTAAATCCCTCACCCTTCCTCTTCTTCTGTCATCTTTGGTCATCACCAAGAAAATATGTGCACATTTCTGACCCCAGAACAATAGTTGCAGCTGAGCATTAGCCTCAGTAAGTCAGCGCAAGTCTCCCGTCTCAGCCCTCTGTTTTGTTCTTGGGGCAATCCATCAAGAGAAGAAGTGTATGCCGTGGATTATCGAAGTTTGCTTTCTGTGTACAAGGAGCGTAAACTACTTCCTATCACACTCCAGTGCTAATATTCACAGTCTGTCCTCTTAGTTTATGCATCTTTAATCCATTCATTTTTTTTCCATTGCCTCTAATGGCAACACCACAAAGGACTCAGACACGGCCGATCATTAAAGAGGACGCAGAGGCGAATGAGAAATCTCTGTATGTGTACAAGTGTCTGAGCACAAAATGAGCATAGTTTTTTATAATTAAGGAAAAGCAATTCTCACATTAGCCCTATAAGATGAAGGCTTATAAGATAGCTGTCAAAAAAAACATGTATAAGTAACTCTTTACAGGAGAAAGTGAGAACGTTCTTAATTTTTAGGTAAGTTAATGTAAAGAGATTTCATCCAAAGTCATTTTGAAGCATTTCTATTAGTCATCATGAAATGTTCACACAATAGGGGAAACTTGCATTTAAATGATCTAGAAAAATAAAAAATTTATAGTAAGAGTTATCATTTAAATGCTATAAATTGTGCATATTATGCTGTGATACTAATGTACACAAACTGTTTATAAGTTTAAGGATGCAGCAAAAGTCATGCACACCTATGACTAGTTAGTACTGCAGTTTTATTATAGCTGATACCTATGAAACGGAACCTTTTGGTAGTGATCATATCATAACTGCACAGTCCTAATGGCTGGAAAGAAGTACTATACCTAAACTACAGTATATCTTTTTAATATCCTAAACATAACTTCAAATGCTCTACGTGCACACTTGTTGGAGAGTCACTGCAGCAGTAGTTTGGGTCGGTATGTAGTCAGTGTTAGAGGAGTGAAGGGCTGGACCGCCTTGTAAGGTAATGCATTATTCTCTTAGCAATCTGACATGCAGGAATGGTTGGATGGATGGCAAGCTAGTTAGCTGTGTGATAAGCGATTCGATGAAATGTGACCTTGTATTTCTCTGTTGTTGTTTTTTTTCTATCCCAGCCTTCTCTGCTTTGACTAAACTCAGTCCTTCATTCTTGACCCTGGCACTGAACAAAGCCCCCAGGCCAGCCTAAATCAGCCCAGGAATGCCTGACCTAAACAACTGCTCTCCCTTATGCTTTAAAGTATGAGTGTCATCATCACGTGCAGGTTCAAGTTCAAAACCATCCTTATGCACTGGTTGAAACCCTAACTGAAAGTGATGCTGGTCTACTCTGTCCAGTAAAAGGAGGCTATTTATGGAAGACCAGTAAGGGCCAATCCCCCCAACAGCTGTGAAAGAAAATACAACTGACAATCTGGTACATTAAGCTGTTTAAAACATCATTCATCCCTTTCTTTTGTGCAAAGCAGAGCAGGTTGATGGATTTGCTGAACCCCTTAAACTGCCATCTTCTAACACTGCTGTCCAAAATGAACGTCTCTCCAAATGGTAACTTTACATGAAAAGGCAAACTTTTGATATAAAGTTACTGTTAAGAGATTTTATTCCAAGTAACTTTCGAGCATTTGTATTCGTCCATTCATCATGAAAGACACACTGTTCAAACGATCTGGAAACATTTTAAAAAATCAGAAAAAAATGGATATACATGATCTTTTCCAGACACCAAAAATTATTAAGTTATTAATTATATGACTTTCTATTCAAGTGCTATAAATGATTTAGTATGAAACTCATGTAGATATGATTATGCAGCTATGAAGTGCACATACAGGTCATATCTATTTTAAAAAATCTGCATAATTCAATTTTTGAGATGTAAACCACATCAGTCAGACTCTTCTGATGTGATTCGTTGTAGAGAAAATTAACCGACTCAAATGTCTTTAAAACAGTGCTGATAGGAACAGAGGCTGTGATGTCTACAATGCAAATAGTGCCGTTTTACCTGCTATCCCAGATGTTTAGTGAACTTGCTCGTGTCTTATGAGTATTTATATGTAATGTTGATAATGGGAAAGTAGTGGTAAACCTGAAAAAGCCCTGGATATCATTTTGCCTCATAACACCCTGAATGTAATGGATTTTAACATGTCATTACTGTCAAAACAAAACAAAGGGGAATTATAATTTTCAAATTAGCAAAAAAAGAAAAGTAGGAAAAAAAGACCAAAATTGAGAGAGAAGGGTTTTTTTGCGACAACACAAATATTCTTTTTAGGCCAAAATGTCTCAAATCTGTTACTTTAAGGACCTGTTACTGATTTCATACAGTAACAAGTACATACATTGAGCAGAATACAGTAAACAACAACAACAATAATAATAATAATAATAATAATAATAATAATAATAATAACAATAATAATAATAATAATAATAATAATTCAAAGTAAAGATAGAAATACAGAGTTCAGACAGCATTCAGACAACATCATTGTGATTAAGTAGTGCGACCACAGTCCAATCTAAAGTAGCATAGAGGAGGAAATAATAATGCAATAATGAAACAACGTAGAATACAGCAGAACAGTTTAATGCAGAACTTAACCCTAATCTAATTCAAACATTGTCATTCAAAGGTGGTGTGACCACAGTCCAAGGTGTGACACTGGTTATGGCAGTCCCTGGTCTGTGGTTCGGGGGAACTGGCTTGTGTAAATGTTTACTCTGAAGTGGGGGGGGTAGGGGCCATGTGCGGACACTACAGAGCCTCTTATGGTGTGGGCATCAGCGTGCCTGTGGCAGCATGACTGCTGTGAGAAAAACCAGCACTGCAATGGCTGCCAACACAGGCTAGCACCTTCACTGAGCATTGTTGGAACGTTTCAGAAAGGTTACAGCAACGTTTTGAGCTTGCCAAACTGAGGGAGGGTTATAAGGTGGTATGTTATTCGTACGTTTATTTTTGTTATTACTTCAAAGTTTGACAGTGACATAGATTCATAGAGAACATAGCACACACTTCACTTAGTTTCGTCTGAGTTGTGACAGACAGTCACTCATAAGTGTCAATAGATATGCTATTGGGAGGCTGAGCAATTTAACTTTGTGTAAGTGCCGTTGGGCCTCTGTGATATACTGAACAATAGCCTAATATTTAACATGACAAGACCTGCTGTTCTCCAAGCATCTAAATCAAATTTTATATAGAAGCACGCGCTGTCTGTCTCTCTGTCCTGCATATTCTGTAAGACAATGAAGATTTTAGCTACAAATATAGTACCTAACCAGCAATGTTG